TGGGCAGTTGCTTCCAGAAAAAAATGTACCAGGCGTAGTGGCGCGAGTGAGGTCAGTGTGAATTGGACGGCACTCATGAGTAGCCAGGCATCTGTGGTATGCACATCACATGAGAAGCGATGGCACGCTTCAGAAACTTTATTTTATTCATACTGGAGGAATCCAATCAATTTTAAAGCTCTTTTTCACAGATGTCCAGTCGACGGGATGTTTCCCACACAGTACACATTGAATAAATGAATCTGCGTAATCACGCTTTGTCCGTGTAAAATGTCTCAAATAAAAAAAAACAGAAGACTGGGGTGAACAGCCGAAAGCAAATCAGGCAGCAATAAGCACGGCCACACCCAACCGGTGACGATTAATTTAATTTGACAAGAGTCAGAGAAAGATAATTTAGCACAGCCCAGTGGGAATTGCAAACTTTTGCAAATACTGGCAGTGTTCCCTGCACTGCATGGTGAACCATGCGACCTAAGTACGATTCCTGGCCACAGATAATAAACATCATTGAACCCAGTCTTGGGAAGCCTCCCACCCATCATCCACCCAGCTACCTTCACCGATCCGCACCCTTATCTCCATCTCCATATATATAAAAGGCAAAGTTGTGATTATGTGTGTCTGTTCAAAATGTTTAGCGTACTTCCCGACATGCAACAAACTTGAAATTTGCCATGTGGGTACTTTCCACACTGTACACCATGCAAAAATCATAAAAATACACTTAGTTTCAACGGCGGCGTGGTGTATTCCGCAAATATGGCCGACTGTGAGGGCAGGCACAAGCCGGCGTGAGTAGGTTAAACGTTGAGTTTTATAAGGGCACCACGGGGTGACCAGCCCCTCCCCACCCAGCCCCACCCAGCCCCACCCCTCCCACTCCCCACCCAGCCCCACCCCTCCCACCCCCCACCCAGCCCCACCCTCCCCACGCAGCCCCTCCCCACCCAGCCCCTCCCCTCCCCACCCAGTCCCACCCTACCCACCCAGCCCCACCCCACCCTCTCCACCCAGCCCCTCCCATTTTTGGATGCACGACGGACGGACACAATAATCCCCTGTGGGCTGGTGGAACCAGGTGGTTCCTACCAGTAAAAGTACATAAGAGGTTACCGGATCTGTGCACGTAGGGGAGGCATGTGCCTGAAGGGGACTAGGAATTGAGTGGGGATTTTTTGGGTTAAAATCATTTATACCACGGTGGGTGTACGGCGGTCGGGCAGAGAGGGGAGAGCAGATGACGGGAGAGTGTGAAGGAAGACACTTCATCGCGAAATTCAGCCACAGGCAGAGGAACAGACGAAGGCCTTGAGCCAAGACTTGAGCAGTGACTGTGCAATGCAGGCAGCCAGGGGCAGGAAATGCCAGACAACTGGGGCAGTTGCAGATGAGTGCTGCTGCTGCTGTGCAGGGTGTGGCAAATCAGAAACTCCCATAAATCTGGGTGGTAAATTATAGCAAATGTGTGAACTGCACCCCATTTGCTGGGACACACGTCTCAAACTGTTTGACGTAATACGCTTAAACATCGATCCACATGTCCACATTGATGTTAGGAACGAGCTCGACTCGTATGACATCCCCACGGTTCCTGACTTAAGTCGCACGCTGTATTAAGGAGGTCTGTTGAAGAGACAACAAAATGCTGTAGCTGTGAGGGACCATTTCACGGGTATCAAGGTAAACTTTTTTATCATTCGATACACAAGACCTATTTTCCTTATTATAATATGGTCCAAATCATAAGATACATTCAAAACTTGTACCCACTGCCAATCTTATGTATAAATGTCATTTTTTGTCTGTCTGTCTGTCTGTTCACACATTTGCGAAGGATTTGGCTCTCAAACGGTGGGGTTTACGTAATAAAAAAAGCAGGTAACACGCCGTAAGTCCCATGGTGAGCAAGCGCTATTCCTTTTTCTCATCCCTCAACTTTAAAGTACTTAAATTAGCGATTGAGCAAACTTCTTTATTTAATTATTTATTGTGCGCGCTCGCCCATACCAACTCACACGCCTTCGGTGGGGGTGTGGGGGACATTTTCTTTCGCGTTAAAAATGCAATAAAAATACACAAAACGCTCAGGTAAATTCTTCAGTGTGATGTCCTCTCCCCCCCCACCCCGATGCGTGCAGTTACTACTATACAGTCGGTAGATGCTACCACTATAGGCCGTAGATATTACTGCAGAGCGTGCGGGAGGATCGTGGCTGGGGGGGGTGAGGGGCTAGCAGCCCCAGCCTACCAGGTGCCACCTCGGCCGGCTGGGCAATCTAGGTGAGGCCAGGGGCTCTGCACGGGACTAGGCCTCACCACATCAATGTTAAGTACTATTTTCTAGCTTCTTTAGCAATACTCACGTTGATATAAACCTATGATTTAAGTAATCCCCTTGCAAATATTACATTAATAATGTTTGTGTGCAGTACAACTAATATTTATATTCCTTGCTTCTTTCGCCAAACTCATTTACATAGAAACCTATTATATTAATAATCACCTTACAAATATTACAATATTTTTGTTCGTGTGCTGACAATATTTCCAAATGAGTTTGCAATTTTTATATGTATGTATTATTGTGTCTAAGTACTTGTGTGCGTTTGAGTCCATGTGTGTGTGTATCAGTCGATGTGTGTGCGAGTCAATGTGTGCGTGCACGAGTTGATATGTCTGTGTGTCAGTCGATGTGTGTGTGTTAGTGAATGTGTGTGCATGGTCTGTGTAGATAACCAATATTTTAATATTTATTTAGTACATTTTTTTTATATTTATGTCTGTGTCTAAGTCCATGTGTGCGTGTCTGCCTCGATGTGTGTGTGTGAGGCAATGTGTCTGTGTGTGTGAGGCAATGTGTCTGTGTGTGTGAGTCGGTGTGTGTGTGCGAGTCGGTGTGTGTGTGTGAGGCAATGTGTCTGTGTGTGCGAGTCGGTGTGTGTGTGTGAGGCAATGTGTCTGTGTGTGTGAGTCGGTGTGTGTGTGTGTGTGTTAGTCGGTGTGTGTGTGTGAGGCAATGTGTCTGTGTGTGTGAATCGGTGTGTGTGTGGGTCGATGTCTGTGTGTAAGTCCATGTGTGTGTGGGAGTCCATTACTGTGTGTGTGTGTGGGTCGATGTGTGTGTGTGTGTGTAAGTCGATGTGTGTGTCTGTCTCTTTCAGCCCGGGCAACACCGGGTACTTCCAGCTAGTAAGGTTATAAATATCTAGGTCACACAACAAACCTACCATATTATAAGATGCACCCCCCACTTTTGCTTTACAATACAGAGGAAAAAAGTATCTTATAATCCGGAGAATACCGCAAGTTGCGTGGCATCTTATAGAGCCTTTTGCTGATATTATTCCAGACTCACTGTAATAGTTTCCATGATAAGATTTCATATTACGTTTTCAATCAAGAGCAAGGTTCACGTTAAAGTGATGCAATATCAACGAAAGGATAAATATAAATGATCTAACAGCCGAAATGCCACAGTGAGATTATAAAGGAAAGACTGGATATGCATTCCAACGATCAGCCGGAGATGGCTATAGGTGCTTCACGGAGTTAATATCACATCAGGACAGTGACTGCTGAGAATCTGGGTTCGCATACCGGCAGCCACGCATAATTAAGCCGGGTCAAGTGAATTGGTCTCAGCCCGCTCACCAATGACTGCACCAAAAACGCACGCGATTCTAAATTTGGGTTTTCACTTAATTTGGCAACATTTTTCTCTGAGAATACTTTTTTTATGCTATCAACACTCATAGCAGGGCACATACAAGGTGTGGCCCGAGTTTGTATGTTGAAGTTCTTTCGCACCGTACATAGCCACCCGTTCTAATCGGGAGTGGGGACAGAGGTCTACTTAAGTGATTTCACAAGTAGTTCTGTGATACCATATTTTGCAGACATTATCCTCTTTCTTAATGTTATGACAGGATTGTGCTTCAGTCCAATTGAACCAGGAATAGATTTTTTTTTAAGTTTGGGGTGGGTAGAAATTAACACAAGCTGCAAGTCAGTCAATTAAAGAAGTGTCCATTGCGTTCAGGATTCAAATGTCAATGCTGGTACACAGCATATTTTTGTTTAAGGAGAAACACTGAATTATTATTGCAACTCTTAAGAAAAAAAATCAGATTGATTAGGACAAGGCTGGGGAAATTTTTCCTGATAATGCAAAATGCACATGTAAACCGAGTAAAAAGAAAACCTTGCAGTGTCAGAAGTTAATGAGCACACAAAAGCTAGAAACACATTTCCCTCTCGTTCCCAATCATCGCCGCTAAGATGCTCGCAGTGATGAATAAACATTGCTTGCAGGCCGTTTCACAGCGGCAGGTCTCGTGTAGCCGTGTGGCGTGAGACGCAGTCACGGGCCACACGGCTGTCATTTTCATTCCCTTCGTTTGGTGGTTTTGTTCGTTTTCGTGAATGCGTGGGAAGAGTTCACATTTGTACAGACGGACAAGCGTAAATACGTTCCAATCATGTCACCCAGTAGCTTACCAGCGCTGTCAAAAATGCATGCATGTTAACGTCCAATTTTAGTGAGTGATTGTGTTATTGTTGTCTTGGTGCGGTCTGGGAGTGTTGTTTTGCTGCCTTGCCCAAGCATGCATTTAGTGTTCAAAAATCGAAAGGAACTGATGTCCTTTTTCAAAAAGCACTTATATATTTTTATGACTCGCTTACCTTTCACATACTTTGCACCCCAATCAGTTTTTGTATTGTTTGTTCTTGTGACTTTCTGACCCGCCGACTAATTTCTTGAGAATTGCTTGATGTGTTTAGTTTGTTGTTCTTCCCCCACACCTCGGATTAGCACGATTGACGATGTACGATGTAAAACAAGTTCGACATACATAGAGGAAATCTGTGAAAAAGAGCTTCACAGCTCTTCGGATTGCTGTAGGGTAAATAAAGATTCCGATTCTGACACAGCAAAGCAAAGGTGTCGTCGCGTGCGTGCGTGCGCATGCGTGCGTTAGGTTCGTGCGGTGGCTCACGGTTGTGCTCCATGTCGCGCTGCTCCGTGTGTGGGATGGCGAGCGAGTCGAGGTGCTCGCGCATCACCTGGCTCCACTTCTCCAGCGTCTCCATGATGAGCCAGGGCCGCGCCAGGTCGGCTACAAGCAGCACCAGCGAGTCGCGCGCGTTCTCCCGCGTCGCCGCAAACCGCAGCAGCCCCTTGTGGTAGACGTCGCCGTCCAACAGCCACACGTTGCAGCGGGCATGGTCTACATCACAGGTAGAAAGGTACTGCCCTTAGCGGTCTTGCTTATGCCACTGCTGGCAGAAGGGGCCGCAGACCTCCCACACAGGAGTCTTCAACGAAGGTGCCCTATTGACTAACTTTAGTGTAACGCATTTCTACTGCTGTGCAGACAGAGTTGAGGAGGAGCCATGAAACCTGCCCCCTTGTTTTAAGATCAAACCAGGAACCTCCGGATTGCAAGTTTAGCTCGTAAGTGGCAGCAACACCTCATTGTGGATACAATTTTAGAACTCTTACACTGGAAGGCCATGAGTAAGCGATGGCTTTCATCCAGCAGCGGATTAATAAATTATGAATCATAACATAGGTTGCAAAAGCCTGTGTGTTAAATTTAGAACCCTCTTCAATAGCATTTGAGGCTATTTCGAGGTAAATAACAGGCAACATAGAGCATCGTTTCCTCATCTTGGTATAGCTCTGTATGTTTGAAGCAGTGAGGCATCATCATTGCACAGGGTCCACTGACTGTGTCTTGTTGCTTTGACTTCCCAGCATGGCGCTGTGAAAGACTTCAGTGTCCATGAAAGAGCACGCATCGGTGGTCGTTGCGCGAGTATTTAACATTTGACTTCAATCTTGGCTCTGCTGAACAGCACAGGCTCATGTGACGCTGCCCCACAGATCCTGCTGTCAAGACTAAACAGCAGAAGGATTTATTTTTTACTGTCAACATAACCATGTGACTCTCCGAGTGGTTTAGACTTTTACAAAAATCATCTCTGCACTGTTTGGGTGTCCAATGGCATACAAATGGTATATTGTACAATGTACTCTGCTTCACTGTGTTGTACAACCCAGTTAGGCAATAACCATTAACGTGACATTATTCAACTTATGAATGCATTCATACATTGCATTGGTCTAGCAAATAATGGTTTACAATCTTGGACAAGAGTAGAAATAAAAAATACTGCAAAAATGTTCTGGAAATGTAAACTCTCATTTGGAATTTTAGTTAACTAAAACGCCAAGTGATTGTCACTATTTAAATAAGATTATTGAAATTTGTATTTCATCGTCAACAAATGCCAGAAATTAAGCTATACTTGGAATTCACCACCACGTTATGCTATTATATGAATATAGAACCAAAAACAAAGATAGCTCTTGTCTTAAAGGCACACCCAGGCTGTGAATCTAGGCTGGTTGACCTGAGTTTGAAGGTTAATTAAGACGAAAACAAATTCATAAGCAGTCAAGGGTCCATCATAACAAGCTGGTGTCATAACTGAATTAACATTCCAGTAAAACATATGGCATAGACATTGCAGTGACCTAAATCGTTGCATTATGACGCACTTCGCTCTGAACCAAATCTACTTTTTCGTTAACGAAGATTCGGACTGCGTTGGACAATCTGGGACAGACAGCCTTAGGTTGCCATCAGCAAGATAAACTGTTTTTTTTTGGTTGTCTTCCTTTAATCATTAACCCACAAACAACGCCAGCTTATGAGCTCTAACCCCATTGTCGTTACATGTGCGTGACAAATAATTTCCAATCAGCGCACCGTCTCGGTCTTCATCGTGGATGTTCAGGTAGAGGTACTCCAACCCGCGTCCCTTCCTCGCAGTCCTCCGCTCCCTGCAGCTTTGCGATGAGCGATGTCTTTCCCGAGCCATCCTCGCCTGGTATTGGACCATCGAACAAGAGATCAGAGTGAACACTTGTTCACATACGACAGCAGCATCCAAATGATACAAACAATTCCCACTGCATTCACTCAACATCAAATAATTCTATGCACTGTTATGTTTTGGAGTTGTGATTAGATTCAAATATTATTTATTTTATGTCGAGTTTTCATCTTATTTTTATTTATCTTCATTGTACCATATTCCTTATTTGTTCTGCCCATCGCATGTGTATCCTCTTTGATTTTTCCATCTTTTCATTGCGACGGTTCATCTAAAAAGAACTTGAATAAAATATGGATGAATAATGGAAAACATCAACGCATGCATCGTGAGCATTAGGAATAATACATGTGATTGTTTTACGTCCCTAGTATCTGGCGAGCACAGCTGTGAAAGACTGCAGGGCCCATAATGTAACGACCTCAAGTACGACAATAGACACGCAATGGCTTCCTATAAATATAGAGTAGATCGCCGTGTGACTTTGGGCAGCTACAGTGAGGTGTCAAAACTTTCCAGGCCTCTCCTTCCATCCCAACCCATTTCTCAAGGATTCTGCATTCTCTTTGGGAGAGTAAAAAAAACGATTGCATGACAATGTGCCCGTGTGGCTGGTGTCATGGTTGTAAATGTATCTCAATGGTTAAGTTTTTCAAGTACTGCAAGTGGTTTGAACAGATGAGTGGTTTTTGAGGAGAGTGAAGTCGTTAGCCAAGGCTGAACACATTATATGCGATGAGCTCATTATAACAATTGCGTCTCAAGTACTAATCGCATACATTTAAACAATTTAAACTGGGTGGATTGATCAAAGTACTGAGGCAATGTTTGTTTTGTCTCTGGATTACTTGACTAATATTTAAACAAAGTTACTTTGGACAGGTCAATACGATGGTGCTACTACGGTCACGTGAAGTTATGTAACGCAACTGGAACACACCTTTGGCCTCCAAAAAGAAATGTGAAAATGTAACAGCATAATTATGACTAAACGTCATAATTAGACACTACCCCCAATGAGACTTAGCACCGATACATAAACTATTAAAACTGTACCTTTAAACCAAATACCAAGTATCCATGTATTTAAACAGTGGCCACATGATTTAAGCTTTCGTGACTGCAGGGATTGATATTATTGGTTATTTCGGTAGTCACGTAGAAGTGAAACAATAAAATAATAAAGATATAAAATAATACGATTATTATTTTATTGTTTCCCTTGTACGTGACTTTACCGAAAGAACCAAGAATATAAGTGGCCACATGCTCAAATGATTGATGGAAACACATTGCCAATGATGTATATTCTACATGACTATGACGGGGGAACCAGTAGTACGGTCATAACTTAGGAATCTACCGCTTGTGCGTAGAGTTTCGAGGTACTGTGGTGCTGTAAAGCACCCGATGTGTTGTTTGTTGGGCACATTTCGCTCCACGTGCTTGGGAGCTACTCCCCGAACTTAACCGAGGAACCAAATGATGAATCTCCCAGCGAGTGGAGACAAACGTCAGCGTTCATACTTAAACTACCGTGCAGAATAAACCAAAAAACACAGAGGAGAGAATACAAAAAGTCAAAGTATTTCCCTGCTCAGGTGAATGAACGTGAGGGGTGGTCATCAATTATTTGGCAGCCTTTGGTAGTCGTGGAAATTCCACAATCGATGCTTGTATATCCATAAGTAAAATATTCATAACACGACTGTCATCGTATTCAGACCGATGTTAGGTCATGGCCATCTGATAAACCCTCAGACGATGGCGAAAATTCCACATTACGATGGCGGGTGCCAGTATATCCAGAACAGAAGCAATACTTGTGATAAAACAACTGCATCCCTGCTTAGTGAAGACTCGTGTATGGCGGTGGTCGTCATCGTTAACATGCCCTTGATTTGGCAGTGAAGGAAATTCCACATTCTCATGGCCGGTGGCCAGTATATCCATTTGACAACAGCATCAGGTGATAACTACGACAACAGCGGTTAACATCATTTTGAAACTAAAAAAGAACATGTGCAGAGATGGAATAGGTTTAATTGCTGCAAGGGCGTATTTTGACACATCCCAACACAATTCAAAGGGAGCCTTACACCCAATCTCAAGCACCCAACACCACCAACCACCTTGCATTCACATGGACACACAACACACGCGCGCGACAAAGACGAGACGAAAGCACTCTCACTCACCGAGAACAAAAATGCTTTTGCCCGTCGGCAATTTTGACCTGGACCTGGTAGACACCTCGCTTAAGATGGAGAGCCTAGACGAGAGATACACAGACAAGAAGACACGCAACACGGTTACAGCAGCCGTCACACACACACACACAACAACAACAACACCACCAACTCGCCCCCATCGCCGCGTCAGTCTCCCGTCAGATCGCTCCGCCACTTGCCACAGGTTCTGTCCTTCGTCTTCGCTGCTGCTGTGGCCATCAAAAGCCGCCGCCGCCGCCTCAGCGTCTTCGTGCCGCCTGCCACCGCCCGCCGCCGTCGACGCCGCCATGTTCGCCTCTCCCCTTCGGCTTGTTGAGCTTGAACCACCCGGATGACGTCACAACTCGGGTGACGTCATTTTACGATTAACGTCGCGCTCGTCACCGGTCGCGAAAGACGTAAAATTCATCTTCTTGGTTTTCATTCGGTAAAGTCACGTGGATAGAGAGCAACATTTTTTAATTAAATATAATGAATGTAAAATAAATGTATTGTCTTTAAGAAGCAAGAAAATGAAATTTTAAATATAAAAGCAAAAAAACCCACGACGTTTCGATCATAAGTCAAAACGATGTCAAACTTATAGGTCTAAAGGTGACGTCATTAGGCAGGAAGCTGACATCACGGAAACGATTTGGCGGGGCGGGGCGGGAGTGACGTCAACCGCTCGATGACAACTCGCGCGCGAATGGGTTTACGTGACGTTAGTGTGACGTCAAATGTTGTGTCTGGTAGTGATGTCACGTAGGTGGATGTCAATTATTTAGTGTTTGTCGCGACGTCACGTCTGCGTGACGTCAACTTCCGCCAAGTCGTGACGACAACAACCGCCGTTCGCCACGAAGCGGTGGTGACGTCACCACGGCGCCTGTGCCAGGCTAGGTGCACTTCGAGGCCGCGTGAAGTGTCGACTGCCCGCTTGGCAGGAGGTCACGGAACAGCCATGGGTTGGCAAAGTTGTGATTATGTGTGTCTGTTCAAAATGTTTAGCATACTTACCGACATGCAACAAACTTGAAATTTGCCTTGTGGGTACTTTCCACACTGTACACCATGCACAAATTATAAAAATACACTTAAGTTATTTTTTTTTGGGGGGGGGGGAGGAGGGAGCTCAATAATGCATTTATTTTTTGCACAGCAAGTCAGCTGTGACGTCACATCTGTCACGTGACCCGCGCACGTGGAAGCCAAGCGCATTGTAGTGTAGTGGGTAGCGCGCTGCGCTACGAACCCGGCCACCCGAGTTCGATTCGCGCTCACGGCCACCACCGGTGACGATTATTTGAACCGGTCCTGGGTCGACTCAGCCTCAAACGAATAACTTGGGTGGTGTGTGAACATCGCTACTGGGGAGACAAAGGCGGCCGGGCGTGGTGAATCCAAGTTCCGGGCGAAGCCGGCTAGTTAAGCTAGTAACGAAATATTTCAAAACGCGATGCAGATGCTGCGATGTGTGTCCAGGATCGTTAATTACCAGTGGGTTTTTTTCTTCAGCTGAAGCATTGGACCAAAATCATGCAACAAAGCAACCGACAAGCAAATGTCTCAAATGTAATCGCGATTATCGAGTCGAAATAAAGTTTGCTGAATCATCCATTGCAGGACTGCATCTCTCCCTCTAGATTGGCACATTGGCCCAACATTTTTACAAGTTCTAACACGTAGCAGCCTTTCCCGACCAATATTCATAATAAACGTTTTTGGGTTAGATCGCGTTATTTAGAAATGTGTCGTAACCCTCCACCACCCGACACGGCCAATCAGTAAAAAAAGTGTCACGTTGACAAAAGACAAAAATAAATTTCGATTTAAAGCTTTCGTGACTGCGGGGATTGATCTTCTTGGTTCTTTCGGTAAAGTCACGTAGAAGGGAAATAATAAAATAATACAAATAAAAGATAATAAAATACAATTCTCTGAATTCAGACGCTGTCTTTCCGACAGACCTGTTCTTCACCTGAGAACGGCTGCTTGCGTTGTTGCCGAAATGTCGTGAGAATTGTATTTTTATTATGTTTTATTTTTATTATTTCCCTTCTACGTGACTTTACCGAAAGAACCAAGAAGAAAAAGACAAAATAGTTCACTACTTTAGCCCACCGGTGTGTGTTGAAGAGTGAATCCACAACATTTACAGTTTTTGAGTAGTACGACGTTTCGCTGGTAATTACATCCAGCATCATCGGGCAATTCGTGACACTTTTTTGCTGATTGGCCGTGTCGGGTGGTGGAGGGTTACGACACATTTATAAATAACGCGATCTAACCCAAAAACGTTTATTATGAATTACGGTACATGTTCAACACTTCAGGATCTTTCGCGACCAATATCCATAATACAGGTGTTTTTTGGGGGGGTTAGATGGCATGTTCTGTTCACGTGACAGATGGCATGATATGTTCTTCACAATTCTGGCAAATCGCCTGATGACGCTGATTGTGATCACGAGCGAAACGTCACAGTACTCGAACTTTGATTTAAAGCTTTCGTGACTGCAGGAATTCATATTCTTGGTTCTTTCGGTAAAGTCACGTAGAAGGGAAATCATAAAATAAAAAAATATAAAACAATAAAAATTCTCACGACGTTTCGACTGCAACACAAGCAATCATCATCAGCTGTGAAATCCACAGCAAGAAATTTTCTTGCTGTGGATTTCACAAGAAAAATGTATTGCTGTGGATTTCACACCTGATGATGATTGCTTGTGTTGCAGTCGAAACGTCGTGATAATTTTTATTGTTTTATATTTTTATTATTTCCCTTATAAGTGACTTTACCGAAATAACCAAGAATATAGTACTCTAACTGTAAAATGTTGTGGGTTTACTCTTACATTAATTACCACGTGTTGTTTACGTGACAAATCTTTCTAATTGGTTGTGTCGGGCGGTGGTGGGTTTAAAGAGACATTGATATTTAGGTGATCTCCCCCGAAACAAACCATCATGGAGATGTTTTTATTATTTTACACAATTTTATTTAACTCTTTTGTTGTATCCTCAAATCTTGTAAGTAAATTTTAACCCATTTTCCAATGTGGTATCGACTGCAAACGTGGTATACTTATATCATACTGATGACAATACGATATTCTATCATGGAAAATAACAAATATATAATTCTTAATTATGGAGCTTTCGTGACTGCAGGAATTATTCTTTGGTTCTTTCGGTTAAGTCACGTCTAAAGATAAAATAATACATTAATTATTTTAATTTATTATTTTATCTTTAATTATTTTAATTTATTATTTTATCTTTAGACGTGACTTAACCGAAAGAACCAAAGAATAAGAGGAAATATATAATTTTAAAAAATTTTTATATTTCGTCTTGGGTCTAATTGTCCACGCTGGCTGTAAATCACCACGGCCCCTTACGTTATGGCAAGCTTCGGGGCCACTTCCTAGAGTCGTGGAGTTCTACCATTACTAGTACGGTACATTTTATTAAAGCGTGTTCTAAAAAAAGTATTATTTTAATATATATTATTCAACAGTTTTACTTAACTTGATTCCTCTGTCGTAGTCAAATCTTGTCATCAAAATTTCGTCCTACTTCGATTTAAAGCTTTCGTGACTGCAGGGATTCATCTTCTTGGGTCTTTCGGTAAAGTCACGTAGAAGGGAAGTAATAAAATAATAAAAATAAAACATAATAAAATAATTCTCACGACGTTTCGACCTGGTCTTCACCTGAGAACGGCTGCTTGTGTTGTGGCCGAAACGTCATGAGAATTATTTTATTATGTTTTATTATTGTATTACTTCCCTTCTACGTGACTTTACCGAAAGAACCAAGAAGATTCGTCCTACTTCCCGTTGTCCAAGCAATTCCACATTTTGCACACCTACTCAGATCCGGTGACAACGCATGCCCTGTATCAAAATCGACATCAATCAATCAATGAATTCGCTACTTTAAAGCAATTAACATTGTGTATGAACACCCGTTATTATTTATTTATTTGTGTGTCGGTCAAAAACGCCGCGGTCCCTAAACTGTAGAATCTGCGCGCCACAACCCGCAGGCGCCATTGACGATCTCCTCAAAGACCGCGAGTTCAACAAAGTTGTCGATAAAATCGTCGTCGTTTTTAAACGAATTTATTATTCAACTATACAAAGTGAAGCGCGTTAACCACCGGGTGGCGCTGTTGCATTAGGCACGGCAACTCGAGCGCGAATACAACAACATTTGCTGCACCATCACCACCACCTACCCCCTATCGTTTCCTCCCTCACGGCCCCCTCCCTCCCTCCCTCCCTCACGCTTTGCTTTATTTATTTTAAATCTCACGCCCCGTAGATTTTTTTTTGCTTCTTCTTCCACCGAACCTCCTCCTTCCTCCCCCTCTCTCTCTCTCTCTTCGTTCTCGAGCCATTTTGAGAATTGCAGCTCTTTCCCTGCTGCCATCGTCGGGCGAGAGGAGAGGCAGGAGAACTCTGCGAGCGCTCTCTGTGCTACAAGGTACGCAAAGGACGATCCGCTAAGCACGCAATTTTAACACGGTTATTCTTACCGCCAGAATGTTTATTTAGCTCGCGAAGCACACGTTTTAGCAAGCGTATTGTGTGTGTGTTTTTAAGGCAGAAGAGGAGGTTGGTGGGGGGGAGATTATATGCGTGCGTTGCGCTTTTGCGCTAATTAAATAAAAAAATATCGCCCCATTGTTTTATTGTGGTCGGTGATTATTTTACGGCGAATTGCTCTTTGCAAGGCTTATTGCCTTCTTAGCGACTGTTGTTGTTGGTTTGTTTTAATATGTAACAGAAAATGCAATGGTTAGCGAATTAAGATGAGAAACGCGAGCAGGTTACTGGCAGGATTTTTAGAAAATTAAACGAGGCGGGTTTTTTTTGTTGTTGCAGTAACCAAGCGAGGTACAGCAGACGGGGCTTGTGGATATAATTCACACGCACCTCATGTCTCCTTACATTTTATTTTCTTTTTTACCGGGTTTTTTTTTGCTTTACCAATCCGTGTCCACCACCGTTGCATGTCCCTTTGGCCATAATTTATTTGTCTAATTTTTATCGGCGTTTTTTTTATCGATGTGATAGAAAGGTTAATTCATTAATATTTTCCTTCCAGCCATTTTATGTGCACCGTTGTTGTCACTAAATGGGTTGCAGATTTCTCGATGCTACTACGGTCTGTTGTATGTCTGGAAACGACAACGTTTAAATCCGAGATGCCACATTTATGTCGTCCATTTCAGCCATCTCATTCGCCTGTTTGTGCAGTAATTTTCCGGTTAAACCAAAGAGCATATGTATAAGTTATTTTTGTGGTGTTTCACCCCAAAAAATCGCAGGTTGCACATTCTGCCATTTCGTTTTGTTATTGGGATGACATTTACGCACATTTGTTAATGCATTTAGACGATTTTTTTTTCTATATTTCTCCTTTTTTTCATTAGCTGAAATATTTGTTTTTATCTTTGCAATGTGCTTTGGGAACCAGAGAAGACACGTACCCAGTTTGCTTATATTTGCCTGAAATTTCAGATGTTTTTTTTTATATTGACTCCTATATTGTATTTGTCAATTTAACTTAACGCTACCTGTAAAATCATGATTTGATATGGTATGCAAATTACAGAAAATCATAATCTAACATATACAAATAATAAAATCTAATAGATGGCTACAGCTTTGGGGGAGGTTTTCATCTATCAGTGGATTGATCCTTGCTGATGATGTGGAATCATAAAAAATGTTTATCTAAAAATATTAAGGTGATTAAAATGCTCCATTGGTGAATGCACATGTATTTCTTAACACAGCAATATTTGCACGTGGTAAAATATCTAAAACAATACATCAGTGTTTGCATGTGTGATTTCAGAAATATCCAAGGAGACTAATATGATCTAATGATGTGCTAACTGGTGGATGGCACAATGGCGGAGGGACCGATGTTTGATGTGTTCATACTGATTAGCAGAGGAAATGCATTGAACATTAGATTATCAAATCCTTGCACAATTAGGGGCTGGAAAAAAAATCCCTCTAATCTGTAATTAGCGTTCCAGGATTATCAACACACATAGCGCAATTATCATCCAGAATTTTCATAGAAGATATTTAGCAAAATTTCCCAAAGCCTCTCCTTATACCGCACATGCAGTTAATGCAATGGGTTTCACAATATGTTTTGTAAAATAACATAATTTAACTCATATTTTTTTTGCTGAACATTCCAGCAAGCTGGCCTTGTCTGTGAAATTATATTTCACTTTCACCTGCTTCAGCGAGCCATTGCTACATCTCTCTTCACGTGAAATATCAATGTTCCATACGTACAAGTATTCCGTATTTGATGGTTTATTATTTATCAAGCCCAGTTTTTTTCCATTCGTCTGCAGCTCCCTGTGACTGAAATGTGTGGGGAGGTCTACGTTTAGCAGTGGATTGATGAAGTGCTGTACATTACACGAGATAATATTTATCTATTTCTGTAATCTCAGTCTTTGATATCAATATTTTTTACCCAAGCGTGAGTGTCCTCTATTCATCATTAAACGCCGGTGCTACCCAGAGTCCATCACAATTGCAGTCACATTGAGTAACATTGTACCTGTAGAAAAATTGGCTCGATCATTAAAGCCACTCTACCAAGCGGTGCCCCCCCAATTTCTCTCACGGAGAGAACAGAAGACCCACGATGGGCGTGGTCGCATCCTTTTGCCAAAGCAATGCCGTCGCATGGTCGCTAGCAGCGTGGGCTGTACTGACGGGGGGGCTGCATTGACTGGCGACATGGCATTGTGCCTATGAGGGGCATGCGTCCAAATCTTTCACTGTGGCTCCGCACAGTGGGAAACATTGGCAGGCGAAATGATAGATTTAGCGACAACAAAAAGTTCCAGAGCCTACTCGGCGCATTTTGCTTATCGTCTGCTGATGATTTCGGCAGTAAACCTATTTTGAGATTTGGATTATGCCATTATGGTATTAGGCACGACAGCAGAGAGGCAATTCTTTTTTGTCCACGTTCAATTGTTAAATTTGATGTCGGTGCAAAAAATAAATAATTGACCCGTTATGGCTACCGAGGCTAGTCGGGTTATTTATTTGCGAGAGATTTTTCATTAATTCATTCATTTCTCGCCGCATTCATTCATTTATCAGTGCATTCAATGTAAGATGTGGGTTTAATGAGCTGTGCACGGAGCGCAGTGCGGCACGTGATGGGAATAGTTATTGCTGTACGCCTACGCCTTCGCAAGCAGAGAGGCGGTGTGACAAAAATATATAAATATATTTCGAAAAAAACATTCCTTGCATTGAAATGCACAGCGATAGCAAATGGCAGTGGTGCAAGCTTTCCATGTCGGGGATCGGTGTCAGAAAAACCCATAAGACCGTTTCATCCACTCGGACCATGAAATATAACAATGGCAATAATGTCAAGCTGCAGCCGGAATACGTAATTTAATCCGTGTCTATTCAGGAAAGCCTCACAGTTTGTAGACTCGTTTTTTTTGTTTGTTCAGGAAGGGTCCATCTTGGGATGTTTGGTGCGATTTAGTATTCAGTATTTTATGCATGCTGAAGGAAACCGGAGAGCTAGAAGAAAACCCCATGCATACCAGAGAAGGATATACTTAAACTCCACTTACACATCACCTGTCAGAGACCCGTTTGCTGTGCAGTGACGTACAAACACGCAATTGCAGTGCAGGCAGCCTCATGCAAATTCAATCTCCATTTGATCCACCCACTCCTCGGAATCGCTATATTAAAGGCGTGCATTATCATAATTACTTTTCATTCTTTAAAAAAAACAGTCTTGTGCCAATTGCAATGGACGCAAACGAGTTGAGATTCGGTGATGCCCTTGCAAGGGTGACTATGAACCTGGCAAAATGAGTTCAAATCCAAGCCACGGCTAACATCAGTGGCAAGTAATATCTGGAACTGGTCTTGCTTCCCACCCCCCACCACCACTAGCATTGACCACGGTGGTACTGTTTGGTTAAACATATCCCCATTAACCCAGGTGTGGGGGAGGCCCTTAAGCAAAATGCTGAATATTAATTTATTATTAATTCAATGCACTCTTTTCACTAAAAATCGAAACGGATCGGAGGTTTTTCAAGATGTGCGTGCCGTTAGCCGATTGCCCAGCTGGTCAAGCAACAGGGGTGTCAAGTGAGCGTGGATTCATTTCCTCGCAGTCTCTGATTTAAAATCGTTAATTTTCATTCCCTGGAAAAAAGCCCTGATGAACCCCCATCTGCTGTAATGTATTTATGCTATGAGTCGTCCCATGTCCAAGGTTAGGAGTCCTTTTAAAAAAATATATGAAAGCCAGATGACTAAAAAAATAATCTGCGTGGTCCAGGGGTCGGCTGATATCCTGGGTTCAAATCTGAGCAGTTGCCAATGATTAACCCGACCCAGTCACAAAAAGCAATCCTTATGTAAACTTTGGTTTTTCCAATTCTATTTTGCTAAATTACATTTCTGAGCGTTACAAATATTGGTTTTGACGGTCACGAGCCAGTCTGGGAAAGTGCAACCGCTGTCACTTGCATTTAAAAAAAGATTCTTGATGGATTTTTGGGAAGTCCCACGAATGAGATCTTCCGCAGTCATTACTTGGCGATTTCCCAATGGATTCTTCATCCCCTCCTGATATGATTCCAATAGCACAATTGTAATACAATTGTGGGGGAGGGAAAGACAAATATGATCGTTTTCTTCTCGGATCATCAATTTTGATACACGTGTGCACCAGGAGAAGAGGATATTGTGTACATTTCTCAGGAACTGTCGTAATGTTTCCGGCCGTGCCATAAATTCAACAACTCTAGTAATTAGATGGGAAAATAATCGAGTCGGTAATTGTTCACTGTGACAAGACAGGCCAAGGGTCGGGTGCCGTGAACAGAAGAAGCAGAAAAATCTCCGGTCAAGCTGCAATTCGTCAACATTTTTCTTTTGGCGAGATAACAAACGAAAAATTTCAGGGCCGTGGTAACGCCCTCTGGCCCCTGCTGGCGCCCTGGCAGCGTTTTGATTACACCTATTGATTTTTAGCTGAGCGCATCTGCGTTGCCGTGACGACGGGGGCCCAGCCGAGGCCGACTGATGTCATCGGGCAGCGCTAACGACGGCCAAAATGTCACGCCCTGGCTCGCCTCCGCTGACGTTCCCTCCGCTCGCCCCGTCGACCGTCACCACTCGCAAATGGCCGAGCGCGTTTCTGCTCAGAATCTTGAGAACCCGGGCGGTCGGCAACCTATTTCGGTGGTCCTGCTGCACCGTCGGCATCGTCCGCTGCTGGATGGAGGCCACACGCCACCAGCGCCCCCCCCCCGCCCCGAGCCGTCGACGTCTTTCGTGGTCACGCCATGCAACGATCCACCTGAGCGCCTGCACAGAGCAGCTGATCTCATTACTCCATCTCTGTGGTGGACGTCCTGCCAGCCGTCATCTCTTGAGATGTGGCTTGCCCAA